AGATTTGGAGGCCAAACAAACTGCCTCGTTAGCCGAACAGGCCAGACAAGCTGTTGCATAAAGCCGAACAGGCCGCCTTATCGGAGCATTTTGTTGCGTTTATGCGGTAGTAAGGATACGTTTCCCCCCTCCCCCACCTTCCGGTAGTTAGATTGTATGAATTAGCTATTTTAAATTATATGAATTGGATATTTTAAATCGTATGAATTGGTTAGTTTTAATATGTTCACAGTTTTGCTTTGTTATATTATGGCCAGGTTTGGTATAAATAAATACAGGAATTATGTAATTATAAAAAAGTTATTTTTAGATTAATAAACATTAGCGACGGATTAAGGAGGGAAAATTTGTCGCTAAAAGTCCCTGAAAGTTTCCTCGCTGATCCGTCACTGAAAGTTCCCTCGCTGAACCGTCGCTGAAAGTTCCCTCGTTGATTCGTCGCTGAAAGTTCCCTCGTCTGAAAGTTCCCCCGCTGATACGTCGCTGAATCAGCTCTATCGCTGATCCGTCACTGCATCAGTTCCCTCGTTGATTTGTCGCTGAAAGTATCTGTCGCTGATAGCATTACCTACGAGCATTTGACCGATGGAGTATCAGCGACGAAAGACCTTTTTAGCAACGGATTTGCGAGGGGATTTTCCCTCGCTGATACTCTTCATTTTTGTAGTGAATCCTCGTATCAAGCACGATTCATGGGTGGGCGGCAAATTCAAAACTTGTGGGGCCTATGTATTCCATCTCTCGAGGGCCGAAGAAACCCCCCTTCCCGATTCCCTATCTCTTTTTTCTCTAAAAGGTGATCAATAGTATAGATCTCTTTTTACACATCTCACTTTAACTCTTTTTATCACATGATTCTTTGCGCGCGCGCACACACACATATATAGCCTTAGGTTCATTTGAGAAGTTGAGAAGTGATCTTAGCCTTCATCTGGTCAACATTTGCGCCTTTGACTGTGAAACACCGGATAATTTTCCGCATGGTATGCATAAGATAGAGGGGTAGTTTTCTAACTTTTACAAATAAGTGGCAAAACAAGTGCATGTGTGAACCCATGTGATTCACATATGTACAATTTAACTTAAATATATAAAATTTGTGTGATTTACATATAAATTGTTTAACTGATTCACATACCCGCATAGTTCACGTATGAACTAATTAACTTATTCACGTATGAACTAATTAACTTATTCACATATGAAACCGTGTGATTCACATATGAACTATGGTTCAAATATGCATTTATTGTTCACATATGTACTTGTTTGTCACATATTTATAAAAGTTACGAAACTACCCTTCTAATTTTCACGTTATAAATCACATATAATTAGAAAAAGGTTTGGAAAACTATTCAATTAATTGTGAACCACATGTGGTTTTGACGAAAATTGTAATTTTTCTTAAATATGTCTTAAATAAAAATAATAATTTTTTAAATAAAAATTAAATGATGTTTTATTTTAAAAGCCTTAAATAAAAAATAAATTTTATAAACAAAAAATGAAACCACATTAAAATCATAAAAATAGTAAAAGGAGAATTTCAAATAACTTTTATATAAATAAATAACTTTATGTTCATGTTTATTTATTTTGAAAATAATTTATTTAATAAATTGCATCGGTTCATAAAATAATTTATTTAATATATTATTTAATAAATTGCATCGTTTATATCATTGTTTTCAAATACAACCCGTCGCATTTGTACAACCAATGCAACCCAATAAATTAAAAATTTTATGGAAATGATGAGAGTTCATTTATTATGATTTGAATATTTATGGAAGATAAATATGGTTTATTAATTATGATCAATACTTTATATTAGAAAACAATCAAAACTTCTATGAAATCACATATATATCAAATGAAATGGACGGTTAAAATTAGGTTGTATTGGTTGCACAAATGTCAAAGGTTGTATAATAATCAACCCCTCTCTCTCTCTATATACATATATATATAATTGTGTATATATATATATAGAGAGAGGGGTGGGTTATTATACAACTCTTTACATTTGTACAACCAATACAACTCAATCTCAACCGTCCATTTAATTTGATGAATATGTGATTTCATATAAGTTTTGATTATTTTCTAATATAAAGTATTAATCATAATTAATGAACTCTATTCATATTCCGTAAATATTCAAATCATAATAAATGAATTCTCATCATTTCTATAAATATCTCAATTAATTAGGTTGAAATGATTGTATAAATACACAAAGTTGTAAATATAAATATATATAAATATATATATATATATATATATATATATATATATATATATAAATGAATAAGCCTGGATGTAATGGTAAGGAAGGAGAGGATGCATGTTTTTCAGTGTCACTGTTGAATGGTAGTAGACAGGCAGTTGTCGCTCTCAAGGGTTGATATAATTCATGACAGACATACCCTACCCCTACTCCTACTTCAAATTAAGACAGGACTAACGTCACCATCACTCCTCCATTTTGGAAACCCTAACCCACTACCCTCCAACCCTTTTCTTCATATTTTACCACCTACTTTCTCCTATCATCTATACAATTTGATTCTTAGATTAAAGCCTCGTTTATCAAACACTTAGTTAACAACATATATTTATCGGTAAAATTTAATATTATTATTTACTTACTGTATAAGATTTTAGTCTATTAAAATGACATTGTACGCAACAATTTACCCGGTAAGCGTTTACCATGGTAAGAGTCGTGGGTAAGACTCTTGGTCCTTGTCTCGTTCTTATCGGACAAGATTCTTAGTTCTCACCATATTCATCCGGTAAGGTAGCGTGACTTGGTAAACGTTTATCCGGATAAGTGTTTGGTAAACGACCCCTAAAAGGGATAAGAGTTTTAGAGAAAAGACTTTTAGATGTGTATCTAAAGATACGTTACAAAGAAAGATTTAAATCACAAAAATAAGAAATGTAACTAAAAGTATGATGATTTTTAGAGAAGGATTTGAAAGCTAATTGTATGGTGTGGAAAATGTTGTTAAATGCTTTTTAGGGAAGCATTTTATTAAAACCGTCTCTGAAAATTCAGCATCTAAGATTTACCAACACTTTTTTATGCTTCTCTAACGGTAAAAAAGAAATCATAGATATATATATTAAAGGAAAAACCAAACATAATGAGGTGTCCTCCTCTAAACATTAGAAGCTTATTTTTCGTTTTTCTTAGATTTTTGATTTTTTAAAATATTCGATGTGTAAAAGACTTTTTCATCCCTATTTTTAAAACATGAAATTCATTAGTAAATGTTATTTTGGTAATTTTAAAAAGCTTAACCACTAACCTTTTCATCTTCATTTTTGGAGGTGAAACCTCCAAATGTTTCATGTGTCCTTCCATGATTTGTCAATTAATAAATCTTTTTTTCTTCCTCTCTATCATTTGATGTATTTTTCATTTTACAAACAATTATTCTTCAACAAAAAAAAATTCAGATAAACTTTTTTCACTCCCTCCATAATTTGATTTTTTTTTCTTTTATTCTATAAACTGTTATCAATCAACAAAATCGTTTTTTCAGGTTTACTATGATAATACTAATTTCAGTATATTCATTATCTCTGTCATTTGATGTATTCTTCATTTTACAAAACCTTATTTTTTTAGCAAAATCTTTTTTTAGGTGAACTTTTTTTCTCTCTCCATCACTTGATTTGTTTTTTCATTTTATAAACTCTTATTAGTACAACAAGATAGTTTTTCAGGTTTACTATGAGAATACCAATTTAGGTATTATTTTTGACTTTTGTTGTATCTTAGAGTTTATTTTTTTACTTTTGTCTTCTATCTTTTTCTCAAGTTTTTTCAATGGAATCAAGGGTTTGTTCGTGGCAACGGTTATATAATTTTGATAACAACGGCTCGATAATTAATTTTTGAATGTATGTATTAAAATCTATGATGTAACCTCAAAAAACTTCAATATGTTCTTTTTCAATTTAGTTTTTTTCCCATATTTAATTCAAGAAGACTAATATTTGCATCCTCTTTCGGCTTTTGTTGGGGTTTTATAGTTCTTTTTTTTTATTTTTTCTAAATATTTTACTAATAATTTTATTTACATGACATATGAATATAATAATATGTATGTTTTTATTTACATAACAATTGAATATAATATGTATGTTTTTACATGACACATGAATATAATAATATGTATGTTTTTATTTACATAACAATTGAATATAATAAAAAAATTATTATAATTGATATGTGTATATATGTGTGTGTGTGTAATATTAAAATGAAAATGATGATTAATCATATTAATTTAATACATTATAGTTTACAAGTAAAAAAACCTCATTGCATTCGATATATATAAATAAAATACTTATAATAATTTCATATAATATAACTTATCATTTTTTATTTTATGTATAAATGAATAATCATTAATATTAATTACTATTTACACACCACTCATTATATATTTTAATATTATTAAATGATCATTATAAATTATCACTAATTATCATTTACACAATACTCCTACTTTTATATATAATCGACATTGATTATTATTTACACTACAATTATTATATATTTTTATTGTAATTAATGATCATTATTATTATATTAGTAATCGTGGATGAGAATGTCACGACCCGTTACAAGGAGTCCATTGACCTCTTGCAGGTGGTTATTTCGAAAGAGAAATCACTAATATCAAGGAGTGGCGTCGCAAAATTCATCACGAATAACTTTAGGGTTCGAGATTTGACATATGGGTTAAGAAGGGGGAGTTAACAAAGTTAGACAAGATTGGAATGGGCACAGGGGCGGATGGCCTGTTGGGCCTTTAAGGGCCCTGGCCCCTGTGCTTTTTTTTTTACTACATAGAACTATAGAAGCATATTATATGTACATAAGCTTTTAAGTATAAACAATTTTGGGCGGCCCCTCCACTCTTGATCCAGTCCTCCAGCGACATCGACGACGACAACCTCCAGCGACATCGACGATGACGACAAGTAGTGCTCTCGACGACAGGCAGTCCTCTAGCGGCAGACAGGGCACCGGTGGTCAGTCCCCCCACCTCCGGCAGTGCTCTCGACGGTAAGTCCTTCTGTTCTCTGTTCTTTGATTCTCTCCGACTCTGTCTCCATAGCAACTGCTTACTGCAATACTACTGAACTAGAAGTCTAGAACTGTTGTTGCATCTTTAATTATTTATTCTTTAACCTGTATGTATATAAATTTAATTGTCTAAATTTGTTTGCTTAAAGCTTAGATTTGATTAGGTGATTTAGGTCTTAATTTGTTTGATATTTTGATTGTTTGCTTAAAGCCTTGAGTTGATTTGATGAGTTTTTAAATTGTTTATGTGTTCTTCAAGTTCAACTGTTCAAGGGTTTATGTATTTAAATGAGTGGACTGCATTTTATTACTTGAGCCTTTATACATTAATACATAAATGAATAATTGAATATGTGTTCTTCTTCAAGGGTATTTGTGGACAATGGCTTGTGAATTGTGATGTCTCCATTCAACATATATAGTGATTAAGCATGTTTCCATCATTCCATGTCCACTTTTGCTACTATAGGAAAGTAGGAGAATCCTTATTCACTAGCAAAGTAGCAATTGATCCATTTTATTGGAAGCAACATATATAGTGATTAAGCAACATATATGTACCTTATTTATATTTGTTTTAAACCTAAAACTGCTAAATATGTTTCACATCACATGTAGATGAAGATGAAAACTCAATCTACCATTCATGAGTTTTTTAGAAGAAAGCATGCTAGTTCTTCTTCTCAAGATCCCGAAGAAACAACAAATGTAGATAATAGCCCTGCATCTAGTATTCCGCCTATTGAAAACCCTTGCAAAAAAGCTCAAATGGAAAGTAATGATATTGATCTGGGTACATTAGAACGAGACCCTGCTTTGCGTCATCAAGTTTATGATTATCCTATCAATCAACAAGATACAATTTGACGAGCTTACATGAATCTTGGTCCTCTTCAACCTATACTTTCTATGTTTCCAAAATCTGGACCAGAAACTCATAAACGTAGCTTTCAAGCTTCTTCGTATAAGTTACATCCCTGGATTGAATATTCAAAAACCTTGGATGCAGCATTTTGTTTCCCTTGTTTTTTATTTAAAAATCCATCTAGGCTCGGATACTACGGTCAACAAGCATTTACCATAGATGGGTTTCAAAATTGGAAAAAAGTAGGTGGGAAAAAATGTGGCTTCTTGATGCATATGGGAACCGAATGTACATCTTTCCACAATGTTGCACAAAAGGGATGGGATCATTTATTTAATGAGGCGCAAGATATACGAAATGTATTTGACAAGTTCACAACTGAAGAGCGTGAGAAAAACAGAATGAGACTGACGACTTCTATTTATTGCGTTCGTTGGTGTGCCTTTCAAGCAGTTGCATTTAGAGGCTACACCGAGAAGTCATATTCCATTAACAAAGGGAATTTTCTTGAAATGTTGGAGGCACTTAGTGAGTTTAGCACCGAGCTTAAAGAGTTATTTTATCGTGTTCCCAGATATGCATCATATACATCACCGTTGATTCAAAAGGAAATTTTGAATCTTATATCAAATAAGGTAAGACAAATGATTTATGAGGAGATTGGTGGTCGAAGGTTTTGTTTACTTGTTGACGAAGCACAGGATGAATCTCATAAAGAGCAAATGTCTCTTGTTTTGAGATTTGTTAATAAATAGGGCTTCATTATAGAGCATTTTTTGGACTTGTTCATGTATGTGACACTACATCACAAACACTTAAGGACGGAATCTATTCTCTTTTGTCACATTACAACCTTGATGTCAAGTCTATTCGTGAACAAGGGTATGATGGTGCAAGCAATATGCAAGGTCAGTTCAAAGATTTGCAAGCCTTGATTTTAGAAGATTGTAAATACGCATATTATGTTCGATGTCTTGCTCATCGGTTGCAATTGGCATTAATGGTCGCCTCTCAAAGAGTTGTAGCACTGTGTAAGTTTTTTATAACGTTGTCTTTTGTTGTCAATGTTGTTAGTGCTTCCTCCAAATGTGCCGACCAACTACGAAATGCACAAGTCGAGAAAATTGCACACTTGATTTATGTTGATGAATTGGAGACCGGTAGAGGTCTCAATCAAATTGGTACATTACAGCAAGCCGGAGATACTAGATGGAGTTCTCATCTCAGATCAATTTCTAGCATAATCAAGATGTTCAGTCCAACTAGTGAGGTTTTGCTCAAAAATTTTGAGGAAAGAACTGGGCCAATCAAAAGAGATGCAGATTCGGCATATGAGGCTATGACGACATTTGAGTTCATATTTGTCTTGCATCTCGAAAGAGAAATAATGGAGTATTGGGTCTGAATTTCAGTGTTAGATTGTATTCTATCTTGAAAGATAATATTTGTCTATAATTGTATAGACATCGTATTTGACTTTCCTTGTAAGTTTGACTTTGACTAGAAGCGTTTTAGTTTGACCCTATATATAGTTTTGTCTTTAGTGATTTTAGTAAGGAGCTTCATTTGTAAATCGTACATTCATATTGAGAGTAATATAGAGCATTGACTGTTTGACTTTTCCTCTCAAGTCTTCTTCTAGTGTTCTTACATGTTTATGAAGATTGCCATAAAATGTATGAAGATATAAGAAGATTGATCATTCCAAGGACTAACATGGAGATCACTAATTTACTTTGTCAAGCTTTACAAAGGAAAGATCAAGATATTTCTAACTCATTGAGGTTAGTTGCATCTACCAAATTGTTATTGCAACTAATGAAAGATGAAAGCTGGGATGCTTTGTTTTGCCTTGTTAAGTCATTTTGTCAGGTACATAAAATAATGATCATACACTCGAACATCATTATCAAGTAAATCTTCCTAACTTGTCTTCTTCTCGACTTGTTTTCTTGTCAGGTATGTAACATAGATATTCCTGATTTGTCTTCTTCCTACTTTAGCAGAGGGAATCGAGCTCGTAATGAACATAGTGATCATACACTTGAGCATCATTACTGAGTGGATATCTTTTATGAAGCAATTAATTRTCAATTAATGGAATTAGATCATCGTTTCAGTGATGGTTCCATGGAGATGTTTCGTCTTGCTTCAACTCTAGATCCTAAAAATGCATATGAGACTTTTAGAAGTCTTGATGTACGACAACTAGTAGAGAAGTTTTATTCTGAAGATTTCAATGATCATGAGAAAACAATTTTGAAAATGCAACTTCAACATTATGCTATTGATGTTGTTCAACTTATAGATTATAAGCAATTGACATCTATTACAGAATTGGGTCAATGGTTGGTAAGGACTAGAAGAGAAACCACTTTTGATCTTATTTATTGATTAATAAGTCTATTACTTACTCTTCCAGTTTCTATCGCGACAACTGAGAGATCATTTTTAGCAATGAATATTGTGAAAACAAGAATACAGAATAAAATGAATGATGAGTTTCTAAATGACTCGTTACTTTTGTTTATCGAAAGGGAAGTAGCTGAAAAGATTAGTTTGGAGGAAATTGATGAAGACTTCAAGGTCACGAAAGATCGACGGGTTCCACTTTGATTAGCGATGTTTGACATGTTTATATTTAACGTCTATTTTAGAGTTTCACTACTTTATAACTTTGGACAATGTATTTTTGGTACCTTTGAAATATATAATATATTAGGTCCGACCCCTATGATTGGAAAGTTTGTGTTCTGCCCCTGAATGGGAATAAGAACATGACTCCCTAAATAGGGTTATTTTCACCTCTCCCTCACGATACTTGTACGAAAGAGAATGTCCTCTCAAGACCGGTCTTTCAACCGCCTCCTTGAAAAATAATTTAGAAAACAATATATTTACTAAATAATTGATCACACAAGTTTCAATCATTTTTTATACGTCATACATATTGACTTTTACTATTTTCAAGTAAAATAAAATATGTAATACTAGAATTAATATACAAAATTTAAATCAACATATAAAACTAAAAAAACTTACAAATCACTTAAAATCAAGATATAGATATAAATACTGAAAATTAATTTCTCTAAAATACTTATTATATTTAATATCACTTGAAAACTAATTAAAATAAATAAATATAATATATATGTAAAATACTTATTAAAATTAATAATATACTAGTTGTGTAATCGTGCAATGCGGCGGGAGTCATGAATTTTAACGATTTTGAAGTTCCACTGGTTTTATAAGATAAGATTTAACGATGATATATGTTACACTTGGTCTTTACATATTAATACAATGTGAATAAATAAGATTTATGGTTCCAATTACACACTATCGATGAAAAAAATTGTATGACAGTTTAAAATCTAATATATTTAAAATCCAACA